AATATTTTGGGCAGTGGAAACCTTTGGGAAATTGTGTGGACCCTTTCTCCAGAAACATATACAAAGAATGCACAAAGTTTTGCATGTGATTTTATGACGGTCATGAACCATCTGAAGTCCATCTATTGAACCCCTAGTCGGTCTCTAAGTCTATCGTATTTTAAAGCTGGAGTGGGCCCCATATAATTCAGAGTCTGGGTTGTATGGAGAACATGGCTTTTACTCCTGTGACACCCTGGCTCATTCAGCTTCAGTGAGAGGTGTAGTTCAAGATGTGATCCCTCTTCAGGTCCTTACCCTTCAGCTTGATCACCAGTCTCATTTGCTCAAGCAACAGTTTGACTTTATGTTTATCACACATAATTCTAAGTTTTAGAACAGTTACTTTGTGGTAAGTATACCTGTACCCAAACTTAGAATTAGATGTGATAAATATAAAGTGTCCAGACTCAGCACTTATGAATTTCAAGATAAATTGCTGAGTATACTATTAAGTTCTCACTCTTGGTGATTCTACAACACAGAATAAATGCAACTTGAGATGTATGAAAACCAAATGCCATTCACTGCTCAGATTTCGGCAGCCCTTCCTGTCATCAAAGCCACTTTCTCTGAGGTTTCCAGTGACTCTTTAATTGCTAAGCCCAATGGCCTAGAAGTCATTCTACTCAACTTCTCTGTAACATCTGACATTGTGGATCCCTGCTTCCCTTATGAAACTTTCATCTTTTTTTTTTTTTTTAAAGATTTTATTTATTTATTTGACAGAGAGAGACACAGTGAGAGAGGGAACACAAGCAGGGGGAGTGGGAGAGGGAGAAGCAGGCTTCCTGCGGAGCAGGGAGCCTGATGTGGGGCTCGATCCCAGGGCCCTGGGATCATGACCTGAGCCGAAGGCAGACGCTTAACGACTGAGCCACCCAGGCGCCCCTACACTGCTGTCTCTTAATTGTGTTGCTGCCCCTTCTGGCCGGACCCCAGCCTCCTTCCTTGTCTCATTTTTTTTTTTTTTTAAGATTTTGTTTGAGAGCAAGAGAAAAAGAGAGCATGAGCAGTGGGGAGGGGCAGAGGGAGAGGGAGAAGCAGATACCCGCTGAGCAGGGAGCCTGACACGGGGCTGGATCCCAGGAACCCGGGATCATGACCTGAGCTGAAGTCAGACACTTAGCTGACTGAGCCACCCAGCGCCCTTGAGCAAGATTCTTAAGTACTCTGTCTTAGTTTACTCATCTGTAAAATGAGAATAATGACAGTAGGTACATCCTGGGGTCCTTGTAAGGATTAAATACACTTGTATTTATAAAGCACTTAGAGCAGCATCTGGCACAGAATGAGTGCTATACAGGTGTTTGCTAATAAATTGGTCTCTGATTTGTCCTTCTAGTCCATCTTTCATACTGCATACAGACATTTTCAAGGGGCTGCTAATTATTGAGTGGTCAACTAGTCATTGTGCTAAGTGCTTTATAAGCAGAATCTCATTTAATTCTCATAACAACCTGCTAGGGAGGTGTTATTATCCCCTTTTGAGGGATGAGGAAACTGAGGCATTAAAAGTTAATGTACTTTGGGGTGCCTGAGTGGCTCAGTTGGTTAAGTGTCTGACTTTTGGTTTTGACTCAGGTCATGATCTCAGGGTCGTGAGATGGAGCCCCACTTTGGGCTCCACGTTCAGCACAGAGTGTGCTTGGGATTCTTTCCCTCTTCCTCTCCCTTCCCCTCTGTTCTTCCCCCTGCTCACGATCTCTCTCTCTCTCTCTCTCAAAATAAATAAAAAAATAAATAAAATCTTAAAAAAGAGCTAATGTACTTTGCCCAAGGTCACACAGTAAAAATGCCAGAGTTGGGATTTTGACTTAGGTCTGTCTATTCCCTGAGCCAGTGCTCAAAACAAGGAATCTTTACTATACTGTTTTCCCAAACCTGAGCTAGTCACTTTCTGCTTAACCGTCTTCAAAGACCCCATACTGCCCATGCTGTCATGATGTATTTCTTCACAGTCTTGTTCCAACTTAACTTCATTTCCTGTAACTTCCCTCCGTGCAGACGGCCCTTTCCTTCCTCTCCCCCACCCCCCCAACCTCTCTCTTCTTACCTTCCTTCTTTCTTTTCTTTGTTCTTCCAACATTTATTGAATCCTTGAATGCCAGGCACCATGCTGAATTGGAGAAAACAAGAGAAACAAACACTTTGTCTTCAAGGAGCTCATAGTCTGACACATACAGTGAGGGGACTGCAGCAAGACGATGTGGGAAAGGAGGGAAGGGACTAGGAAGAGTTTCTCTGACGAGGGGACATCTAACTGCCTTAAAGGACATTCCAGTCAGACTACTTCTTGCCATTCTTTAACAATCCCGACTTCTTGCTTTTTGCCTTTGAGATCTTGGAGGTGTCTTTCTTTCTGTCAGATTGGTGTTTAAGACTGTATTTCAAAGTCATTTTCTCTGGAATGCCATCCTTTCCTTCCCAGTAAGTTGGATGTTTGTTTCCTTGTACATACCACAAATTCAGCATGTATCCCACTGTAGTCTAGCTATTGGTCTATTTGCCTGTCTCTCTGACTAGGCTGTGATGTCCTCGGGAAAAAAAAAAAAAGACAGTCTTACTTATTTTTGAACTGTCCTTCATTCCCAAAGTGGCATGATCAGCATATCATAATACTCAGTATAATTTTGTTTTTGTTTTTGTTTTGTTTTGTTTTACAGAGAGAGAGATATAACAAGAGAGGGAACACAAGCAGGGGGAGTAGGAGAGGGAGAAGCAGGCCTCCTGCTGAGCAGGGAGACCGATGCGGGGCTCCATCCCAGGACCCTGGGATCATGACCTGAGCCGAAGGCAGACGCCCAACGACTGAGCCACCCAGGTGCCCCTATAATTTTGTTAAATGAAGAGTTACTTGCCTATTTACAAAAGAAAGAGTAAGGCAAGGGGCCCTTCTGATTCAGAGTAAAGCTATTCAGACTATTATTTATAGTATCTAGCACAGTGCTCTGCAGAAAGTGGGTGTTCAATAAATACTAAGTATTTGATGGTTCTGTCAGTGAAATATCTGAAGTAATGTTAGGAATAAGGAAACATTAAATCTACTTCTTCAGATAAATTAAGATTTTCATGTCTAACTGAGTGTCAGGGCTCTAGATCAGGCATGAGGAGAATTAAGAATTGTTGGCTATAGAGCTTGAATTGAGGGTTTCCTTTCTTCCTTGGGTCAGGCCATACATCCACAGTCTTGTGCACAGCTAAGACAGCAAGATATGGCTGTTGGGAGCAGGATGCATGGTCAGCAGGGCTTGCTGCCAAGAATGTAGCATTCTAGTCCATACCTGGCTAAAGGCCCATTAATCTCTTTTGCACCTGCTCCTGGTTCCATCATCCTAGGTGCACCATCCAGCCATTTTCCTCTCTGTGGTTTTGTCTCTTTACTGGGAGCATAGCCTTCTCTTTCGCCTATCTATTTCTCCAAGGAACATTTACCTCCACTAGAGGGGGAATTGTTATGGTGGGGAGAGGAGTATGGTGTTGAGGTGAGAAGAGTCCTCACTCCTATTCTTGTTCTTGTTCTTTTTCTTACTACGATCACCCTTTCACCAGTGGTTAAAACTTTTGTACAGGGAAGACTCATAGCCTATGCCTATTTTCCATCATGCCTCAACCCTCTCAAGAGGAAATGATTGCAGAACCCCTACTAGCATGAATTAAGAGGAAGGGAAAGGGGAAAAATACATGCAGAGAAAAAAAAAAGTCAACAGCAAAGACTGATACTTCAGAATACTGTCCTGGTCACAGTGGTCCCCTGGTCTCTTTGGGTCTCATCAAAATTGTGAGAATTAAAGGACAAAGAACATGTAAGTGGTTTAGAATAGTGTTTGGAATGTACACAGTGAGTGCTTAATAAATGTTAGCTGTTATTATCCAGGGCTCCTTCACTCACAGAAAGACCTGGGTTTCTGTCCCAAATCAGGTCCTCTAGGACAATCACTCCCACACTCAAAAGTAGCTCTAAATTGTGTGAGCTATTCCCTATGCTTCTCTAGGACGGTTCAGCCTGGACACCAGATGCATTTCTGGACTCCCTAGAGTTTGGGTTGTCACGGTACCCCTAGGGGGTTCTCTTTCCTCCCAATATTGGTTTCCCTCTCAACTTCACCCTGAAACCCCAGGAAGCTCAGTCACAGGTTCAGTTGGTACCTTTCCCCCAGTAATGCCCCCTGCCCGTACTGGTTTGGGTGCAGGTGGTGTTATTGACCTTTCTGGTAGCCCTGGGACTAGAAAATTACAACGAAATTCAGAAACAGCATGCAATTTTTGGCACTGACATCTTTATTTATTTATTTATTTATTTTTTAAAGATTTTATTTATTTATTTGACAGAGAAAGACACAGCGAGAGGGGGAACACAAACGGGGAGTGGGAGAGGGAGAAGCAGACTACCTGCCGAGCAGGGAGCCCCATGCGGGACTCGATCCAGGGACTCCAGGATCATGACCTGAGCCGAAGGCAGTCGCTTAACCAACTGAGCCACCCAGGCGCCCAGCACTGACATCTTTAATTAAATCCAACAAGCATTTATTGAGCACCTAAAGCATGTACAATACAGTTCCTTTAAATACGTTTGATCCTTAACTATTTAGCCTGTTTTACTCAATTTGGATTAATGTTGATCCAACCTTAAGAGTTTTATGAAGAACAAATATTAAAATGAAAAACTGCACAATTCTTTGCAAATATAAACGTCTTGTGTGAATTATTCTTGCTACAGTATTAATATTAATTGCGATAACAACACTGCCGCTTCCCAGGCAGGCGGTAGAGAGCAGCTGTAAGGCCAACGGGAGTTAAACGGAAGAGGTCAGGGGAGGTGCCTCCAGCATGTTCGGCCCAGAAGGGGCGGAGCCTCGAGGAATGTACCCAAACCCAGCCCCTTACCCCGCCCCTTTCGTCGGTGCGGCGTAGGCGGTTACCATGGGAATGACGTCTGGAGGGCGGGGTGGGGCGGGGCTATGGAGAGGAGGAGGAAGATGGCGGGAGGGCGGCTCTGAGGAGACCTCGGCGGCGGCGGAGGAGGAGAGAAGCGCAGCGCCGTGCCGCGCCGGGGCCCATGTGGGGAGGAGTCGGAGTCGCTGTTGCCGCCGCCGCCGCCGCCGCCTGTAACTGCTGGACCCGAGTGGGAGTGAGGGGGAAACGGCAGGATGAAGTTCGCCGAGCACCTCTCCGCGCACATCACTCCCGAGTGGAGGAAGCAATACATCCAGTATGAGGTACCGGCGGCCGCCGGGGTGTGGGAGGACTCCAGTCCCGACCTCCATCTCTCCAGTCCCGACCTCCACTGCCGCCTTCCGCTCCCGCTGCCTCCCCGCGCCTGGGCGGACTTTGACCCGGTGCGGCGGGGAGCCACTGCGGCATCCCCGCCCCGGCCGGCCCCCTCTGGGCCCCGCTGACCTTCCCCTCCCCCGCAGCCCCGCTGCCGCCGGGGTAACGGATATGAAGGCGGCGGGTCGGGAGGGAGGGCACCGCTCGGCCGGGGCTGGGGAATAGGGGTGGGAGGGCGAGCCGCAGGTTGGGGAGTCGGGGTAGGAGGGCAGCCCGGGGTCGCGGCGGTTCCGCGCTAATCCCCTCCTCCCCACTCACTCTAACCTTTCGTCCCCACCCTGGGCGAGCGCCCCCTCGCCAAGGTTAGGTTTTGTTTCTCTCTGCTCACCTCTCACCGAGGAATCCTTCTCTTCCGAGATAAGCCCCTTTAGTGATTTTCTTCATTCCACAGAGCCCTTCCGCTTTTCCCCACTTGCCCACTGTTGACAAAGGCTTTGTAACAGGGTTGAAACTTGATTTAAATGTATATCACATATGCAGTGGTTACTGTATGCAAACGTATTGTAATCATCTATTCTGTTTTGATAAGACGGTGACTGGTCTTCTTACTGATTGCATGAAGTATACAAAGTAATCACATCTCAGGTTTTGACTCTCTTGTTTTGGAATGGAGTACAGGGGAAAAAGGAAGAAGGGAAGAGAAGACAATAATTAAAATTTTCAGGTTTTCTCTCCTAAAATTTTTGTTAGCTAGGGAGAAAACTACTGTATTGTAAACAATGTACTTTTATAAAACATACCTGTGTATTACAGATATCTTGCGGCCCCCCGTTTCTGTGATAACAGCTCCTGGAGAGTATTCAATAGGTACTGATAAGGAACCTTACATTAATATAGGGAAAAGTAAAGATAATGAACCCATTTATATATTCAGAAGGCAAGATACCCGAAGAGCTTTAAGCACTGCAATAGGTTATTCTCAGTAGCTGGCAATTCAGCTCCTGGATAGAGAAAGACTTAATCTGTAACCTCCAGGAATTCACATCTGTGTATGTGCAGGAACAAAGAATATAAAATCAATATGAACACAAATATGTTAGCTACATATTATGAATTAAAATATTTTAGTTCTCTATTTAATTTCTATTTAAGTTCAGTGATAGGATGTTTAGGCAATAGCACAAAGTTTAATTTTCATATAGCAGATGTAATAATTGCAGAAGACAGGGAAAGGGGTGTAGGTAAACAGAACCTTGAAGATTGTAAAATAAATTCACCTTGTAAAATGCAGTATTTAATTATTGCCAGAAATGAAACACCCAGAATTATTAATGCTTTCTTGTCACTTAATTTTCTTATAGTGTTTTTGGCTACATTTTGTAAGAATGAAATAAGGCACTAGCTTTTCAGCCTGTGGACTTTTTTGATTTATTGTTTCTAATAACATTTGGTCAATTTTAAAACCTTGGCTAGAGTCCAGATGATGGTTTTCATTGAAAGGAGGGTATTGGTCTTTCATCTTGTAGTAGTAATTTTCAGCACCACTGCCAGTTCTTCATAGAGGCATAGGACACAGCATGCTGAAGCAACATCTTATACTTGTTATATAGTATGGAATGCTTGATTTGGGCAAAAGTAATAGTGGCTGGTTGTATGCTGTGATTCATTTTAAGTATTATAGCACTTAACTGTCTCATAGAACTGTATTAATTTGGAATATCTGGGGCTGGAAGGGAAGCATAAGATTTAGTTTGAAAATTCAATTACCTCTTGATTTGTAATGTCAGCTTTGTGGCTGGAGTAACCACAGTAATTCTGGGACTTCTCATTCACATACTCCGTTTAGACACTAACACTAATTGGTTAGGTTGGTTACAGAGGGAGAGTGACTGCATTATCTTTCCTGGGGCAATTATAAATTATTTTTAAAAAATTCATTTATTGTGGATAATTGAAATTATATTCTGCAGAGTCCCTACTACATGACTCCTGTCCCAGATAAACTCACTGTTTGGTAGATAAAATTAAAAAAGGGGACTTTTCGGGGCGCCTGGGTGGCTCAGTCGTTAAGCGTCTGCCTTCGGCTCAGGTCATGATCCTAGGGTCCTGGGATCAAGCCCCGTATTGGGCTCCCTGCTCCGCGGGAAGCCTGCTTCTCCTCCCACTCCCCCTGCTTGTGTTCCGTCTCCTGCTGTGTCTCTCTCTGTCAAATAAATAAATCTTTTAAAAAAAAGGGGGTGGTCTTTTCTTTGTGAATTGGAGCCATGAAAGACATTTATTTGTCTTACTATTTATTTGTTGTATATTGTTTCTCAAGAGCTGATGCTATTCCTTTAAAAATACTTAAAGAGGCATAGATAGGAGTTTTCAGAGTTCAGGCATTTTGGCAACTTAAAAACTTTGGGGAAAAATGACATCCTAAAAGAGATTTGCTGTTGCTAGAGAAAAGAACCTTATAATGCAGTAACATGTAATTTCTCATGTATGAAGATCATGCCCTGAAACACTGTTAGTAGAACAGACACTTGAGTTTGTTTTTCAAGCACTGGTGGTGAAATTTTGGGGTGTTACCCCTGATGTGTAGCCTAGGGTGCTTTCTGGTGCTGTGAACCACTATGAACTGTTCAGCTTCTTTGGTTTTTATGTCATTTCACTACATTAAATTTTATTTGAAATAAGCAGAGCATTAGATAGAAACTGAAAATTTTGTTTTACGTCTATAATTATTTGTATAATTGTGTATACGTGGTCACACAATAAATGCTAGTTCTTGTATATATTAGCCATGAGACCCCGGGGACAATCTTTTTGCCTTTTCAGGGCTCTTTCCTTTTCTATAAGATAAGACTATAGGGCCAGAGCTTTTCAAGTTCCATCGTGGTTCGTAGGTTTTTGGTTTAATTTTTTTTTTTTTGAAGATTTTACTTATTTATTTGACAGAGGGAGACACAGCGAAAGAGGGAACACAAGCAGGGGGAATGGCAGAGGGAGAAGCAGGCTTCCTACTGAGCAGGGAGCCCGATGCAGGGCTTGATCCCAGGACCCTGGGATTATGACCTAAGCCGAAGGCAGCTGCCTAATGACTGAGCCACCCAAGCACCCCTTTTGGTTTAATTTTTAATGCTTTTGGTTTTTGGAATGTTAAAAATTATTAATATTAGTGACTCATCAATACCCTACTAGAGTTTCTAATTAAAAAATAAATTGTGGAGTTCATAAACTCAATCTTCATAGGCAGAATAATAAAGCATAAAAGAGAGCAACAATAAGAAACCATATAAAGAAAATCTGTTTGATCCATTTGTGAATAGTTTTTACAGAGAATAAACACAAATGAGCGGAGACCATCCCTGTTTCCAGTAATCTATTTGAGTATAAATCTTGGCATAGAAAATAGAACATCAATAAATCTTTATGAGAACACTTTAAAAAAAATTTAGAATCAGTAATTGCAATTTTAGAGCTCTGTAATTGATTAATCAAAATTAACAGACCAGTTTCAACCACATAGACTAGTATGACTGTGTTAATATTTTACAGAATATTAGCAAAACAAGCAAATATATTTGGTGCCTTAGGCTGCTGACTTGTGTTTTCATCCCTAGGGTCCTGTGCTGCTTTGGTTTCTCAGGAATTAGGAATGGTTTTTTTCAGTGTATACTGTAGTTTTGTAAGATACTAAAATAATGAGGTATCTAAATTTCAGGATTTTCAAGGGAATTTAAACACTATCTACCTTCTTGTTTTTTTCAGACAGGGAAACAAAGGTCCAGAGAGGTTAAATTATTTGTCCGGGATCATTTATAGATAGCTCATCTCTTGAGCATAGAGGTATAAGCGTTGGGAGTCATGCCACCCTAGCTGTGTGGCCGTGATGAAATTACTTCCTCTTTCTGGGTTTTAGGTTTTTCATTTGTAAAGTGAGAGAATTGGACTTGATGGTTTCTAAACTCACAGGGCTATATTTTCTAAGGATCCATCTAGCTTTAAATTTCTGTATGTTTTTATGGTTTAATTATGTTTGATATATGAAGAAGACAGAACTTAAATTTAGGGCTTATTATTACTTAAAATTTTTTAATTTCAATTTAATTTAGTTAACATATACTGTAGTATTAATTTCAGAAGTAGAATTCAGTGATTCATCAGTTGCATACAACACCCAGTGCTCATTACTTCAGGTGCCCTCCTTGATGCCCATTACCCAGTTATCCCATCTCCTACCTACCTCCCCTCCAGCAACCCTCAGTTTGTTCCCTATAGTTAAGAGTCTCTTGTGGTTTGCCTCCCTCTCTGTTTTCTAGGACTATTATTAATAGCATCTTTTTACATTAAGGTTCTTTCAGAAAAATTTTGAAGAGATTTTAATCTGTGAATGGAAAGCTGACCCAATGAAACTTTTATTTAACTTAAATACATAAAAAGTGATAATCCTGTATTAATTTTTTGTTGTAGGATTTGGAAAAGGAGAGATTCTGTATAAACTGTACATCCCTTTTTTTCAAGTGTAAGGAAACATTGCCATGACATTATTGTGATTTTCATTTATAGAACTATCCCATGAGAACACTTGTGTTGCAGGCTTCAACACAAAGGTATTATGTTGATTCGTTAGGGTTAACTTGTCTTGCTAGAACTTGTTTGAAATTTCCAGTTTGGCCACCCGATGGGGCACAAACCACTTTTTCTTTCAGGCATTTCTGCAAGTGAAAGTACAGTATAACATATTTAAGATAACACTTGTAAATAAGATGCCTGGCATTTACCAGTGTTTCTTAAATGAGTAAATGAATGTTGTATAAAAGAGGAACCCATTACTATTTTTTATTATATTTGTATAATGAAGTATGGTTAGGGTGAGTATCTGGAAAGATTATACTTGTCCATCTATCCCTGAAGGTTGGTTTTGGATCAGCTTTTGGGTGAAGGCCCAGATCAGAAGAACATA